TACGAGTTTTAATATATTTTTACTTTCTATGATATTTTATCAAAATTGGCCTATTAAATATATAAATATATGTTTCGCGTGTAATACTTCCATTCAACTACCGAAAAGTTAATGGAAATATATCTTGACCACTCATTCGATTGATCGCGTTATTATCCGTATGTATACTTTAACAAAGTTTTTTCACTTGTGTAGAAACTGGTATTCCAAAATGTCTTCTTCATCTGCAAAGAAAACAAAATCATTTTATATTGTTACACAACATATGATTGTTTTGTCGATAAAATTTCGATATGCACAACACAATATATTCGTGTATATGTGTGTGTCATGTGTGTACACAGTTGCAAATTAGATTTGTATACAAGTGGTAAGGCATTCCAAACTTATACTATTTAATATTTATAATATACAATGAAAGAGAGAAAGTTATCTACCATTTATAACCAGCTTATCCAATTAATGTTTTTAATTAAATACATATATAAGCGTAAGGAAGATGATGTAACGTATTGCTAACTAGCTATGTACAATCGATCGAGTTTATTGATATAATGATTGATACCGCGAAAGAGTATAAAAATAAAAACAGTTTAAAAAAGATATTTGAGAAAAATATAGTGAATGTGGGCATTATGTATCGTGATATAATAAAGATAGACTCACAGATATCGTCTCTGCTATTGTTGTCCAAATCACTAGTTTGTGTATGACTCTCCTCGTGCATACGTCGCCCTGCGTGTTTCGTCAACGCAGCACAAGGCACAAAAATGACTCGGTTATGTATCTGAGGCGTGGTGCAATGTATGTACAATACTAAAGATATAATATATGTATATCGAAAATACATTGAAGTTTCATATTCTTCAGGATAGAAAGATGTTACAAATAAATGAAGTAATAAACTTTTCATAAAAAGAATAAAAGATTTTAACACACGAGATAAAATTTTATAAATCTACACAAAATCTTATTCCGTTTATACGACTATGCTGCAATATATAATTGCTTAATATAATTGACATATATAATATATTCGCGAATATAACAAATGCGAATATAACATTATAATATATTCGCGAATATAACAAATGATTTTTAAAAACGCGATTCTAAAATTTAATCGTAAAAAAATGATTTGTAAAATGTATTGCACTATCTGTCTGCAACATAAGCTAGATATGAAATATGAAATTTATATTGTATAATATGTAACATG